CTTCACTGGAAGCCAAGGAAGCTGCCTCAGGACGCACACATCTTCTTGGGTCTTTTGAACTAGCGTAGTCCAAACCCTGGATCTGAATTTCTTAGGTGGTCCCTGTCTCTTTAATGAGCATGACCACAATCTCATGATCTGAACAAGCCAGATTTGGGGATACTGGGAATCTGAAAGCAGACTTTGCAGCAGGAGTTTCTGTGTAAACATTCGGGAAGCGGTCGCTGTGAATTTCAAAGAAATGAGGGATGTAACAGAAAACCCCAGTGGTCTACCGAGATGCAGCAGAGATATGCATGATGTGCTTCATGCCTGGCAGGCTAGAAGTTTCCTTAAGCAATACCCTGACAGCGTCGTGATCAAGGAAGAGGCGACTAGATGCCAGAGCTGGGGATTTAACAGGTCTCCAAGATGCTAAATGCTGGAAATGAGAAGAATGAGCAGCGCCACCCCCCTGAAGAGTACAAGGGAATTTCCCTGGGAAGGATGTATCAATCACTGCCCTGTCTCACCAGTCCTCAGTGCAGCAGAATCAGTCAACCACCAAACTTTGTGTGTTGAACAGAAGTTTTATTAAGCAGCAAAGCACTCCTGCAGGGCCTGCTGCATCTAGTACATATGTCTTTGCATCCGCAAGTCACAGCAGAAATCAGGATTAAAGACTGCTGACCAAAGGGAGCACACCTGTGCAAAGACAAGCTCAAAATGTGACTCTATGAGATGGAAGAGCTATTGGAAAAGACAGTGGAAGCAGAGGCCAATGGCAAAAAACAATTTGCTGTGCAGATGGCTTGGCTGCAGGTTTCCAACAGCACTAAAGGCTCCAGGTGACCAGTACTGAATGAGGCAGGAGACAGAGAGGGGCATGAGCCACAGCTCTGAGACTGGCATGTCAGTGCTAACACACTTCAAATGTAGGTCTGGGACTTTGACTTGACTCAGAAAGGAGACACGGGCCAGGCACAAAACACTATCCAAAGCTAAAAATCAGGAGCGCGCACAAGCTGTTTCTTATTTGGTTTCTAAGGGCTCGGCCACTCAAGGCAATGAATTGGAATAACTATGCACCAGTAATGCCTTGCGTGAACACACTTATTCCAGAATAAGACAATCACACACTGAGTCATTCTGAAGCAATTACCGCACTTTAAATTCACGCCTTTCCTCGGTCTTAAATAACAAAGTGTATCCTGCCCATTTAATGTAACGAGGACTTCAAATAGACACATACATTTTAACTCTTTTTAAAGGCAACTGCAAAGCTCATATCTAAGCTAAACTTCCCAGAAACCTGGGATAACTGGGCTGGGGCAGGGAGGAAGACTCAGTCATATCCTATGGTCCCTTTAGATTGTTTTGGCAAAGTATAGAGGACTCAGAATAAGAGAGAACTGGGCTCCAGAGAGTTCACATCCAAATTACAGCTCAGGTCCATCTAGCCAGGCAGCAAACGTGCACGAAGAAGGGAGCGACTGTATATTGAACCTGTGGAAGTCACTGCCACAAGAATTTTCAAGACTGCAAAGTCTTTTCTAATCCATTTTGGAAAGTATATTTAAAGGATTTAAATACCAACGGGTGAACTACACCACCATGCAGAAGGCCTGAACAAGGAGGGCTCTATGTACAACTAAGTGTGACTTTGGTCCTTGTACATATTTGAGGCTTAACTTGTACACTTGGGCCCTGAAGTGGCACTTCTCTTATGCATGAAGCCTCGGGTAAGCTTTCTGCTCAGTTGATCTCACCCGGCATAATATGCAGCTCCATGGGACAGGCAGGCAGGTCAAAAAGCTGGAAGTTATATTAATCCCTCGTGCTTCAGGGCTTCATCTAGAAGAAATTTTCCCCCCGCTGCAAAAATGCTTCATAGTCATCTCAGGCACACTGGCATATTGATTTACCTGCATCTGGAAAAGGAGCTAGAGGTTGCTGCCACCAAAAAATCGTTGACTACAAGGGCTGATAGTCTGTCTCCTTTGCTATAGTAACTGTCATCTATCAAATGCTGGAGAGAGACTTCTTCCGAAATAACAGCACTCACTGAGAACTGAGTCCATATTGCATTTTGCAAATTATTTGCAACCATCTTAAATTAGTCGCCTATTATGATGCCTGCTTCCTGATTGGACGATGCAAACTTTCTGAGCAGAAGATAACGAGTGAGGTATAACAAACAGCGAGCAAGTAATAGCACATTTGCAGGCAGAGAATAATTTGGAGTCTGTAAACATTTTAATGAGCACCTAGCTATTGCCTGACTATTTGCAAATAGCTAACACAACCCAACAGAGAGCAGCAGAATGAGGCTAGCCCTTCGCTCATCAAACAGATCATTAAAAGTCCTCCCCCCCCCATCACATAGGAACCAATATTGCCAGGAATCATCTCCTCACATCCCTGCCAAGCTGACATGCAGAACTGCAGAGGTTTTCAACCGGTCTAAATATAACAACATATCTAGTGGCACACAGTGCACTCAATCAGCCTGATTGTTAAGTCTCGTCCTCTTCGTAGCATCCCCGTAGTGACGCGTGAACTTGTCTGAAGCCTACAAAATGCACCAACGCAGCCACCTCTACCTGCCGCCCTCCCATAACTTTATTTAGCAAGATTTCGTCTTAGGTACCGGCATTTTCTGTTTTTATTAGTCTTATTTCTTTGGTTTCTCTTCCACGGCTGTTGTGGCCACAAGCACACAGTGACATCCTCTGTCGGGACTATGGAATGACTTTAGGCAACACCCGTCTGCTCCTGGGCTTTGCCACCCTGAGTGCATTGAAGTGACAGGGCTGAGCTTCCCCCGACACTGAAGAGACCAGGAAGAAACAGGAATTGCTCAATGATGAATGTTGAAGGTGCTTTAGCTTATATCCCGGTGAGCTGGTGCCTTGGCCATTCTGCCCTTTGGACACAGTCCGTAAGGACTCTGTGCTTATCTTCTCATCCTGGAGTTAGTTGCATGACTAAGGAAACAATAAAGTAATGTAAATCCCAACACAGCACGTCACGTAAGCTCCGGTTTAGGTCTCAGCATGCAGGTCGTTTCACCAACGGTAGAGTTAAATTCATCATTAAGCCCTGGGTGGGACAAAGGTCAGCAAGATCACCAGAGCCTCCTCCTTAGGCTTCTCTGAACCAAAGGCTTCACCTACAAAGCTGCTCAGCTTCCATCCTCAGGGTTTGAAATACAGGGGGGATCGGGGGCATGGGGGGGTGAGCCCCCCATAAGAGACAAGAGCCCCTGACCTGCCCCAGGCCTTTCTAAGCAGCTCAGGCAGCGGTGGTGGCTCCTTCTCGCTTCCGGCTGCAGAGCCCCCAAGAGCCCGAGTGTCCTTCAAACCCTGTTCACCCTCCACTTAAATAGTTTAAAAAACCCCTTTTTTTCCAACTATTTAAGTTGGTCTAATAAACGATACCAGATTGACTCGAAGCACCTGGTTCACCCTCCATGCGCTCTTCTCGGAGAGATACTGCCACCCCCATTACCCGGACGGTAACGAGCTAGGGAGTCAAGAGGAGCTTCTTAGCCCTTTCCAGCAGCATCAGTGTCTGCTGACAAGGGGACGTGGGCCGATTTTGGGAGCAACTGTGCCACGTCCCCATGTGACAACATGCTGGGTTACAAGAACAGGACCCTCACTAGTCACACGTGTGCTAGGACAGCGGGACGCGGTGCCCAGGGAAGTGGCTGGAGCGGCTCAGGAAGAGGCTGGAGGTGGATCAGACCCTGTGCAAATGGGCTTGGAAGTGCTGGTCATTCTCCAAGACGAGGATGTCCCATAAGATGATCCTTGAGCATACATGTTGCCTTTGTTATAAAGTGCAAAGTGGCGCTAGGGGAGGAACAATGGGGATTTCAACAATGACCTGGACGGGGTTTGGGGAACAAGCCAAATCCAAGAAAGCTGCGTGCTTGGTTTTGGAAAGGGTGGGCAAGCAGCCGGCAGCAGAATACCTCTAGCACCAGCGCTGCAGGGAGCTTAACCTTCCTGCCCTGCATCAGGCTTCAGCCGACGGCTTCACAGGGGCTAGCGCGGGGACCCGAGGAGATATTCCTGATTTCCATCCCCCTGGCCAAGAGCACTCGCTCCACCGCCTGCACGCAGACGACTCTCGTATGTGGCCGTACGACGTTCAAAATGGTGTGGGGTCTTTGCGTGACCCCCTGCCGCTCCAGTCTCATAGACGTTTGGGGCTGGAAGGGACCTTACACGTCGTCGGCGCCAGCCCCTGCACCTGGGCAGGGAAGACGGCTGGGATCAGACGACCCCAGCAAGGTGGGCGTCAAGACACTCTTTGGAGACCGCCAGGGTGGGTGACTTCCTTGCGCGGGGGCTTCCTGCTTAAAAGCATGAGACACCGGGGAAGGAAGTCACGGGCACCATGGCTGAGTGATGTTGTAGCCGGGGAAGGATGGGACGGGCACGGAGGGTCTTAGCTTGCACCCAGGGTGTCACTGGGACAAAGTTAGGTGTCACTTCGTCCCCACGGAGAAGTGCAAGAGACCCGGGGGAGATGCAGGAGCCGGAGGAAGGTTGTAGGAGGCGCAGGGAAGAGTGCAAGACACCTGGGGAGGAGTGTATGAGACCTGAAGGCGAGTGAAGAGCCCGGGGAGGAGTGTAGGACTTCAAGCCCGCCTCGCCCGCGCAGCCCCGGCCTCCCCGCTCCTTCCAGGACCGGGCAGCCACACCCCGCCCGCGCCCCTCATGCCCGGAGCGGCAAGCG